CTGCACCTCCAGGAGGCCGGAGGGCGGCCGGAACTCGGGGGGCTCGTCCACGTCGGTCACAGACACGCGCACGATCGCCTGGTCGCAGAACGTGCCCAGGTCGGCGAAGCGGGGGTCCACGAACTTGTTGAGGGCCTCCAGGACCACAGTGTGTACGGGCTGGGATTCAAAGTCCAGGTGCTGGGGAAGGAGCAGAGGGCCGGTGAAGCGGCTGGGGCTTTGTGGACAGCCACGATGTCCGGAGACTAGGGCACAGCAGGGGCCGGGCTGGCCCAAGGTAAGGGTAACCCAGGGAGGGCTCAGGGAGGTTTCTCCTTAAAATTGGTTGTCAGAGACTCAGACCAACACTTTCCAGTTGCAGGTGGAGAAACTTAGGCTCTAAGGAGGCAATCTTGACTAGAAGCTAATGGTTGCTCTGGCCAAGTCTGAAAGCCCAGACTTTCTGGCTTCCTGCACAGCAGGTTGGGACATCCATTAATTTTTTTTTTATTTGAACAAACACAAAGCACTTACTATGTGTTAGTGCTTTAATTTATTAACTCAGTTTCACCTATGATGCTTATATTATGATCTCATTTTACACATGAGTAAAAGCATAATTTGCTCCAGAGTCACTCGGAGAGCCAGGTTTCAAACCCAGACATCGTGGCTCCCAAACCCTGGCTCTCACGCTGGTGGACAGGGGCCTGGATCCTCGGCTCTGCTGCAGACCACTGTGACTGGCATCCTAGTTAGCGTCTGGGGCCTCGGGGTAAGTGGAAGTCAGTCCCTGCTACCCGGGAGGTAGAGACTCACAGGACTTGCATCTGATGAGCCCGGCTGCCCCAGCTTCCCTGAGCCTGGCTGAATGCACGCTGAGCTGTGTGACCTCTGATGAATGAGCTCCCTGGCTGTGCGGCCACTCTGGCCAGCTAAAGATAGCACTCAGAGCGGAGAACTGCAGTGGTGGAGCTGCAGTTGGCCTGGTTGCACGGTGAGGAGTTGTTACGCTGACCGGAGACTCCCAGACAGCGTCTCTGTGGACAGGGTCCCCTCATGCTGCCCAGAAGCCCCGCCCCGCCTTCCCTAGCAGCACAAAAGGCCACCCCCTTCCTCCATCCTGTTGCTTAGGAAATGAGGGTGCAGGGAGGCAGGTGGGGACCCTGCCCAGGAGTGAGACATGGACTCTGGAGCCAGGACATCACTGAGGGGGGGCTCTGCTTCCTGTACTATCATGGATGCCCACAGACACATCAGTGGCTCCAGAGCAGGTGGGAACTAGGGGGAGCGAGGATAGAGCCGCTTTATGGGTGCAGGAATCCCAAAGCTAGGCTTGGGCCGCTTCTACTCTAGGATGCTGGACCTCTCTGGGCTTCCAATCCTCCATCTGTGAAATGGGCTCGTCTGACATTAAGTGTGCACAGACAGCAAAGAAGCATCTGGAGCCAGACAAACTGGGCGTAGCACCACTGGGGATACACAGCCCCAGGCAAGTTACTGAACCTCCGCAGGGCTCCATTTCTCATCTGCAAAGTGAATAATGATAAGACTGCCAAGGCTAGTGTAGGGACTGAACATGTTAATGTGGGGAGCAGTGGAACAGTACCCGGCCTGTGGAGAGCACTTTAGAATTGGCCATGGTGTTATTGTCCTCGGGAAGGCACTGAGGGAACTGGGCACTTTCTCTGCCCTCCAACTCTCAAGGCAAGGTCAAGAGCAGGCCATTGCATGCTTGCAGAATGGACAGAGGGCTGCTTGGGGCAGACGTCGGTGTCCTAGAAGGCAGAGCGCAGGTTGGTTGGAGGAGATCTAAGGCAGCAGAGCCCAGCTGAATGGACTAGGAGCTGGACAATAGCAGAGTGTCTCTCCTGTCCCTGGAAGTGTACGAGGGCCTATGACAACTTGTGGGCCGATGCAGAGGATTTCAGCCTCCCTCGGGAAAATGGGATTTTCGTGGAGTGTCTCAAAGGCCAGCACAGTCCTGCATTACCGAGCCCCTGGCCAAATCCTGGAAGGTGGACTTTTGCTTCCTTATTTGACCTCCATCCCCGCTTCTAGCAGTGCGTGGATTTGCAGTTTTAGCTTTCTGGTTCCTGGGTCACCAGTGAGTAAGGAAGGCTGTCAGGAAGAAAAGAACTTCGGACTCACCAGACCTGGGTACAAATACCAACTCTATCCCCTACAGGCAAGATCTGGGGCAAAGCCCTCTACCTGAGTTTGCTTCCTCACCTGTAAACATGAGGATAAAGACCTCTCTTATAGAAGAAAAGATGAGAATTAAGGGGCCTGGAGTGGAGCTGAAGTAGCATAGCATAGCATTTAGGAGCTTGGATTCAAATCTGTATTGAATCTCGGCTTTGGCGAGTAGCTGTGCAACCTGGCATAAGTAACTAATAACCTTTCTGTGCCTCATTTTCTCACTTGTAAAAGGGGAATGGTATCATCAGTGTTTTCCCAGGTTGGCCCTGGATCTCGAGACAGCTCATCCCTGGGGTGAAGTGAGGTAGGGCCTCCCGGAGCCTGCAGCCCAGACCTGCCCCCCACCCATCCCGAAGCAGCCGCACCTTCTGCACTACTATGATGGCCTCCTGAGTGTCGCTGTCCGTGGTGACCTTGAACACACTGCCGCCGCCGCCGCTCTCGTCCTTAAGGTGGTAAGTCATGTCCGTGTTCTCGCCCACGTCTGAGTCCTCGGCCTTCACTCGTCCCACGGCTGTGCCAATGGGTGCCGACTCCTGGATGCTGAAGTGGTACATCTCTGCGGGGACATGGCCATGGGCAGGGAGGGAACAGCAGACCCTGTCCTCCACCGGGCCCAGGGAAGGCGGGGGGTGAGGAGAGAGGCGGCAGATGTTTGCCCATGAAGGGCGAGGCAGCATTACCTGCAAGGGACTCCCAGGTTGGCCAGGCAGGGATAGGAGAGGGGGTCCTATGCAGACTCCTGGAAGCAGTACAAAGGGGAGGGTGCTCCTGCTGACCCTTGGGCTATTTACTGATCGATTCGGGGAAATGCCTGCAGTTCTCTGGGCCTTAGTTTCCCCATCTGCCAGGGAGGGTTACAGAGGAGCATAATGACAAAGGCCAAGGCCTAGATTTGGTTCTAGCTGTGGTCCCTGAGGCCTGGATCCCTCATCTGTAGAGTGGGAGCAAAGGTGCCTTTCTAAGGCAAGGTAACGATGAGACACAACACCCAGCACATGGTAGCTGCTCCGTAATCAGAGCAGATGGTATGAAAATGATCGGCCTGCGTACTGACTTTCCTGCTAACACTAATGGTGTTTATTTCTTTGTTTCTATACCTCTGATGTCCCAGACGTCATGCTGTTCTGGCCTTGGGGTTCCCGCAACAAAGAAAATAGCCCCAAATCCCAGCTCTCAAGTGCTTTCCTCTTAATGGAAAGAGAAGGGCACTAAACAATCAGTTCAGGAGAAAAGCGTGTCCAATGGAGATAGGAACGCAGGAGAAAAAGCAGGGAGCACGTGAGAGTGCTGAGGAAGGGGCTGCACCTTTTTAAATAGGCTGAACAACAGAGGCCTGGCCAGGGCTGCAGTCCAGCTCAATGGTAGAGTGCTTGTCTAGGTAGCAAAAGGCCCTGGGTTTGCTCCTAGTATCACACACACACACACACACACACACACACACACGGGCCTCAACAAGAAGGTGACATCTCTGCACACATTTGAGGGAGTGACCAAGCAGATACAGTGGTACCTCGGTTTGCGGACTAAATTTGTCTTATGCTTTTGGAGAGGACAGCTGCGTAGGTGTTTGTGGGGGGAAGATGGTCGTGGCTGTGTTTGTCAGCCAACGTGGAGTTTGCCCATGGAAGCAGAATTTTGCTGAATGCTTTTGTGGGTGAGCTGAATTGTTTGCACACAGAGTCCGTGAACCAAGGTATTGCTGCATCTGGGAGAGAGCATTCTAGACAGAGGGCACAGCAGATGCAAAAGCCCTGGGCTGGTGCAGTGCTTGGCATGTTTGAAGAATGGCAAGATGGCCGTCCTGGCTTGAGGGAAGAGGCAGCGGGGAGCCAGAAGGAGCGAGACCGGATGGACACAGACAGCACCCGGAGGCCCTTCGTAACACCCAAGTTGAACACGCCGCTGCCTGCTTTAGTCCCTTGTGTGGCTCCCCACTGCCCCAGGGGTGGAGCTGTGCAAGCCCCTGCTGCTGCCTGGTCCCTGCTGATATCTCCGCTGGGAGTCTGGCTGCAGAGAGGTCTGGTGAGGCCTCTCTCACTTCCAGGTCAGCTCCGCCCTCGGCCCCTCTCCACCTGCCCTCCTCATTTCTTGATTTCACGCTCTCGCTCTGTGTGTGCTCTCAGATCAGGGTGAGCTCTGGGAGAGCTCTGTGCTAATCTGAGTCCTCTGGTCAGATTAGCACAGATTAAAGCTTTGACCACCAAGTGCTGGTGAGGGTGTAGCACCAGTGACACAATCATTTTCCCCCCGGGGGAACTAGTTGGGCTTTATTTAATAAAGCCTAGTGTCCCATGGCCCAGCCATTTAACTGCTCTATATGCACACTAGAAAAATGTGTGCAGATGTGCATTTGGAGACTGTGCAATCATGTCAAAGCAGGATCCTTCATAACAGCCTCAAACTGGAAAAAAACCCACAGGCCCACTCTCAGCAGAATAAATGATGGAATACTATGCACCAAGGAAAATGAACAGGCTTATGAATCGGGTGCTGGAAAAATAAAAGGAGGTGGAGGGAAGGTGAAAAGAAGAATTGAAATGTGTTAGGTACATGTACCAATTTTCCACAGTGAATGTAATCACTATGTACTGTAAGCATGTACTAATAAAAGTAAAACGTTTGTACAGAAAAAAAATAGTGACACTACAAGCAATGATGTGAGTTCATACACATAATTTTGAGAGATAAAAAAGCAAGTCAGAAAACAATGTGTATTGTATGATTCCACTTATGTGAGTCTCAAAACTGGATGCAATTAGACTATAATGTCTGGCAGTGCACACAGAGGAGCAGACTGAAAAGAAGCAAAGCAAGGCTGGAAAAAATGGGTGGTGGTTAGCACCGGAGGAAGGGTGGGGTGTTTTGATCAGGAAAGGGCACGGCGGGGCCCCTGGGGTCCTGGTTGGTGATTACCAGAGTGTATGCTTCATAATTTATTTGGCAACTGGATGGACATTTCGAGCTTCTGCCTTTCTGTTTGCGCACTCTACTGCACTGTAAAGAAGTGAGGAAGAATGAAGAAGCCCATCTGGGGCCCCAGCCTCCTCCTCTGTGTTCTGCCTGCCTCTTCAGCTCAGAGCCTGGTTGGGGCAGAGACTGGTGGGTCCCCCCAGCGTGGTGCTCCCGAGCCTCCCCATCAGCGGGTGGGGCAGGGCTGGGGGGTGGGCCTTGGACCACATCCTGTGCCGGTGCCCAGGGCCTGCTGGCAGCTCTGCGTACCCTGCTCTGTCTGGGCTGAGGCACTGGGCCACGGTGGTGCTGTGTGCTCAGCTAAGGGATTGGATTCCCTTATCTCGCGGGGGTCAGTCCCCTGTGGCGGGGCCTAATGTGAGAGCAGCAGACCTCAAGCAATGACTTGCCCGATAGGAATCAGCCTAGCTCCCAGAGGCATTTAGTCTCTGCCAGCCTCGGCAGCTTCCCTGGCTGAGTGGCTCTGGTGTGAGCCAGGGACCGAGGGGCTGGCTGGGCTGCTGGGGAGGCCGGGGCCTGGGCCACAGAAGCCCCTGATCCCCCACCATGCCAGGAGGGGCAGAGGGTGGAAAGACACCCTGATTCATGAGCCCGGATGCCTGCCCTCAGGCCCAGAGGAAGAGGGATTGCCTGTCAGCAGGGTCAGTGTCTCCGGGCACAGCCACGTCTGCCTGGCTGTGCTGGCTGCTGCCTTGGTCCCATCCCCACAAACCCACCCTGCCACACATCTTCTCTTTGCTAGCTTGGGTTAGGGACACCTGGCTCTGTAAGATTCCAGGGCCGGGGAGGGACTGGGGGCTGGACAGAAGTGTGGGCTCACCCTCTACGGGAAGAAAGGGGAAAGATGGGGAGGCCCCGTGTTCCTTAGATGGCCAGGGCCTTCCTCTGCAGGAGGTCTGGCAGGAGGAGGGCTGGGGGTGAGTGGACACCCTGGGTGGGCAGACAGACAGATACACAGATGGAGCCTCACTCACTCTGAGGGAAGCGGGGCGGGTTGTCGTTGACATCAGTGACCACAATGGTGACGGTGGTGGAGCCCGAGAGGCCACCCAGCTGCCCTGCCATGTCTGTGGCCTGAATCACCACCTCGTAGCGCTCCTGGCTCTCACGGTCGAGGTCAGGCACAGCGGTCCGGATCACAC